CTGTAAACATTTCCAAAAAATTGAACGCGTTCGCGTTCAACGTTTATTGACAAAAATCGAACGGGTTTACGTTCAAGTTCATGTTCAAAAAATAAGGAACGCGTTCAAGTTCATGAAACCGTTCAAAATTTTATGATAATTTTTTTTAAAATTTAATTTAATATAAATAAACTTATATTTTTTAATACAATATATTTTAGCGATGTTAAAAAATAATATAGCAAATAAAAAGATATTTTTATTTATAAGAAATTTTTCTTATTAAATTTTAATAACAATTGTTTACAAAATATTTATCTGAAAGACAGGAACACTTGTCAGTTAATACGGCATTAGCTTAAAAATGCGCTCTACAGAGGCAGATGAGGGGATTGCGGTATTATACTTAATAAACAAATCTTTTAACGTGGAGAATTAATTAAAAACATATTGTTGTTATTTGTAAAAAATTGGGATAAGTTATTCTCCTCCAATCCATTCTCTACTCTCGCCAAAAAAAGGATATCTCGAAATTAACATTTCTCTAGGGTTTTCAAAGCATTTTTTAAATAACGCTATAGGTTTATTTTTAATAGATTCGTTCTGTGGAAGTTTTATCTATGGCCATTGAAGTTTGAATGCTGGATGTATAATTGCAGAAAGAACATATTGATGCTTATATATATGTTCAAATCTTTAAAAAATAAAATATATGTAATTAATTGCGAGTGATAGGTTTAATACATTTTATTAATCCCATTTAATACGACGTCTATCAATGGTTGACCATATTTGAGGCCACAAATTTTTTTAATTTTAAAATAACTATCGTTATTGTTGGGGTCAAATATCGCATATGCATCATTTCTTCAAATTTAATGATTTAACTTAGTTATATCATATAAAATCAAATAATTAATACTAAAATCAAATGTCGTTTTAAATTGGAACCTGAAGATTTTTTGACAATACTTTTTGGCAACATTTTACACTTGGTAAGTATTGGATTAGTTCCTTCAATATAGGATGTTAATGTAAAACATTTATCATGGCCATAGTAATGATTGAGGATTAAATAATAATATCCATGCTTATGCTAATCTATTAAATTAAAATATAAACTATAATATTCAAATGAATAAACTATGCGTTAAAAAAATTGAAATGTGAAAAGGAAATACACAGCCGATTAAAAAAATATAAATAATACAATTTTTTTAAAAATTTGGAAAAATTAAATTTTTCAAATAAATAAAAATATTTTTAAAATTGAACGAACGTTAAATTCGAACGCGTTCGTAATAAAAAAGGAACGCGTTTGTTTACAACACTATTTTTTTGGCGTTTTAAAATAATTTCCTGATTAAAAAAAGAGGAATCAAAACAGACCGGTCAGGAAACTTTCTTGTGGCAACATGCCCAGATTTAATAATAAATTAGTATCGCTATGCCCCATCATATATAAGAATTTGGTATGAACTTTCTGGCCAATTTGTTTAATTTCATCACTATTTTTTAAACAGGTATTGATTTTTTTTTAAATGTTAGAAATGTATCTTGGACAAGTACATTTGATATTTTTTAAATATTTTAATAGTTATATTAATGACGAAATAAAATAATTACTTAAAAGAAGAACTATAAAAATACTAAATTAGGAGTTCTAAAGAAAATTAACCCGCCATATCATAGTTTTCATTATTATCACAAGTCTACCTTTCCTATATAAAATTAAAATATGGTTGAGGTATAATTTTAATATATTCAGATACCTGCAAAATATTTCATTATTTGAGAATATAGTATTCAATCAAAAAATGTAAATAAGAATTTATTTGATCAAATAAAATGAGGATTGGGGAATAAGATAATGAAGTATATAATTGGTATTCACCACTCAAGTTGTAAGTCTAAGGTAAAAAATTGCAAAAATAACTAATGTGAAATATTCGCCCTCTAGTTGACTCAAGTTCATAGAAATATTCGTCCTCTAGTCAACTCAATTATATAATTCTTATTCACGACACAAGTTAAAAGTCTAAAGTAAAATAAACAAATATCTTAACTAATTTGAAATATTCGTCCTCTAGTCGACTCAATTTCATAAAACTATTCGTCCTCTAGTTGAATCAAGTTCATAGAAATATTCGTCTTCTAGTCGACTTAAATATAATTCTTATTCACGACTCAAATTAGAAGTCTAAAGTAAAAAACAGAACAAATATCTTAATTAATAATAATAAATCTGAAATATTCGTCCTCTAGTCGATTCAAGTATATAATACTTATTATTCACGACTTAAGTTAAAAGTCTAAAGTAAAAAATGTAAAAAACAACAAATATCTTAACTAATTTGAAATATTCGTCCTCTAGTCGACTCAATTTTATAAAACTATTCGCCCTCTAGTCGACTTAGTTATATAATTCTTATTCACGACTCAAGTTAGAAGTCTAACGTAAAAAAATGTAAAAAATAGAACAAATATCTTAATTATCAATAATAAATCTGAAATATTCGTCCTCTAGTCGACTCTGACTCGAATTCATAAAATATTCGTCCTCTAGTGACTTTCACAATTTGAGTTAGTCGACTAATTCGACTCTGAGTCTCGACTTTTTAACAACACTAGAAGCGAGACATTAATATTAGTTGTATTAATCGCAATAATTTTAAATCCAATTATTTTCAAAAATCAATTTTTTTAGAAAAAATGGCCTTCCATATTTTTGAAGAGAGAAAATATTATTTATAGCAGTCATTTTAATTATTTTGAAACATCAATTTTCATAGAAAGAATGGCCGCTAATGTTTTTGAAGCGAGTTATTAATTTATAGCAATCATTTACATCACAAAACATTTATTTTCATTTAAAAAAATGGACACCCAATGTTTTAGAAGCGGGAAATTATTGACAGTAGTCATTTTACAATGGCTAGAACTGTTGTGAAATGACTGTCCGTGGTAAAATGACGGCAGTCGAAATTTAACAGTCAATTTGCAACGGTATACCGGCTCGATTTTTTTAAAAATAATATATTTTCAGGCTCGACCATGATTTTGAAATATATTATATTTAATTTTAGTTAATAATGGCGATTTAAGATATTCGGCAGGCCTTGGTATTTAAAATTTTTTTTAGGCCTGCCCTGGGTATATTTATAATATGACCCGGCCCGAGGGTTCCTGGTCTCATATATTTTAAGCTAATAAACTATCAAATTTTATATTAAATACAATTTTTAATTCAACTATATATTAAAATTTGAATTTTCAAAACGAATCATACATTTTGCCAAGTTAGGTGAAATATATGAATTGGAGTATTCCTATGACATAATATTATATGGCTAAAATCTTAATCGAGTCTTTTTTAAAAATCGGGCCATTTATCAATAGTATCTACAATCTTTAACTACTAGGATTATTCGAAATTCAAGAATTAACAAATATAAGTAATTATTTTTTATGTATACTATATACTAATTTTTTTGTTAATACTTTAATGTCTACTATAAATATATTATATAAATTATTTTTTACCTATAATTAAATTTCATACATTATACAATAGATGTTCAATTTTTTTAACATCTTTGAATTTTTTTAAAATATCTATGGGTCAACTAAAAAGCAATCCAAAAAATTTAAGTTTAATAAAAGTGCTGTTTGAATTTCCATAATATATGATATAAAATTAGATAATTTTTTTGCTAATTAAAAAAATAATTTGTGATAGGAGTTATCTATTTTTATGATTATATTCTCTAGCTTTCTTAGTGAATTTTGGTCCTTTGGGTTATCCTTTACCTATTCAAAAAAGGTAGTATATTCATAAATAGCTAAGTTTTTTGAACTTAAATTGTCAGATATTTCTAGATTACCTTCACCATTTCAGAGCTTTCACAAAATAGAGCTGTGATAAATGTCTCACAGGAGAGATACTCGCTTTTAAATTTGGGCATCTATTTTGGATATAAACTAACTTACAACCAAATCCGGCTGAATTGGCATAAGGTCGCCTTCGATATTTTCCATTAGCAAGTTCATATCCTTTAGGCAGTCAAATGAGCCCCATAAGCACACTCAAAACCATCCATCCCTACAGGAAATCGATCTCTAGAATCATTAGTCGATCCTCCCTCAGCAGCGCGACAGAAGGACTGGGTTAACCATCGAGTTGACAACTCAGTTGTATACCTTATTGAGGAGCCAACCCAAGGACGATTCTCAACTCTTCTCTATTTTCGTAGGTAGAGGTTACAAATGTAAGAATATCTCGAATCTTTTCCATTGAGAACACTTGACCAAATTAAGATAAGCTACGCCATCCCATTGGTAGATTCAATTGCAAAATTAACATCTTATCACTGTATTATCCGTTAAACATCTGTTAACTTACCGCAAGCGTTGTAGAGGTAATTTATTAGACATTCAAAGTGCAATGACATTATAGCCAGGGTTTTAAGATCACTGGGTTATACAGTTCCTACGGCAAACGGCCAGATGGTTCTAACATAATCCCTTGGAAAAGAAGGGAATTCCTAGTCTGGGTCTCACGTATTGATTCTCTTGCCCGTTCCAATATAAATAGATGTTCTCATTAAATAAACTCGATAAATATTTGCCATCTCTGTGCACTATACATTTATACTCATAATCGCCACGACTTTAACATCGTTCGATTCATACAACCTAGCATGCATTTTTTTAAAGAGGCATCGGATCTCAGCTAGGATCGAGGCTTACAACGATGGTTACTATTTTCGTCAGATGATGACTCTAAACATAGTAAAAAGTTACCCCAGATAATCAATAAATGAGACCACATAAATTAACATCCTATACTTGGGATACGTTTTGATCTACTCAGCTCGGTAAGGGATACATAGACGAAGCCTCCTTGATTCCTAATCGAATGAAATCAAAATAACGAGAAAATAAGACTATTATACTTATGCCTACTTCTCATAAATGAAATTCAAAATTATGGTCTTTTCCCCCTATAAATAATGTTTTTTTAAAAAAATGTTTTAGTTATTATAGATTTCGATCTATGTATTGCTTACATTCTTAACATATTAATCAATTACATTAACAATAAAAATTAATAAAACAGGCTTATAAGATTAAATTATAATACAAATAATAATGTAAAATATTTAGAAGGCTGCTGAAATAGAACATTCGGGACAGTACCATTTTCCCTTCGGGGGCTGAGTTACGCCTACACAAGCATAATGAAACCATTCGTATGGGCAGGAATTATTATCACAGGCGACCATTTCCCCATAGGACACTTGATTGCAGGTGCAATAACGAGGCTCGTCTGGGTCATCCTCATCTTCTAGCTCTTCTTCGAACTCTTCGTTTTCTTCTTCAAAATCTTCTTGCTCAACGTTCGTATTCTCGTTATGTTGCAATTGATTGTTATAATTTTGGAAAGCTTGTGAATGTTGCAAGTTGGTAGAGGGGTGCCGGGTATGTTCTTTTTAAAAATATCTTTTTAGGCTTAGAATATAAAAATATGTATAGTCCTTATTCTTAATCTTTATCATATTATATTGGTAATTTTTTTGGAGAAGTACATCATAGTCGATATCCCGCCATATTCAACAAACTAAATAGCATGTTTTTTTATTGCTCTCATGTAAAATTCAAGGAAGTGAAATTAGATTAGATGATAATACAACAAAATGTTAAAGTGACGCAAAAACTGTTTTTAGGCCAAAAACAAAACTAAAGTATGTATTTTCAAACTATTAAAATTTAAGAAATTAAAATAAATAACTTTCATGATAACGATCAGTGTAATCCCTTAAATTTGATGAGAGTGATGGAGAAGAGGGTATGGTTTCACGGATCATATTTTCTATTTTTAATAAAATTGAAAATAAAATAAGAATTCTTATTTATCTTTAGTCCCTATTGCCTCGTTTCAATTATTTGTTCTACAAAATATTTATTTTAAAAATTTTATATAATCTCATTCAATTAAAAAAAAATAATTTAACTATTTGAAGAGGATTTCAAGAATTTGTGCGTTCCTCGGCGATAGATTTGTGAAGATTGTGATGAACCTACTTTTATGTGAAAAATTAATAAAGCTGGAATATGAAGGAAAACTTAATTAAAAAATAAAGTTACATGGCCATTCAAAGGTTAAAATAGCTTGCAAATAGGGGAGAATGAGAGCTTACCAACTAAAAAATTACTCACTTTTCACACCCCTCTGTCCTCAAATTAACCTTTTAATTCTATTAAATTAAGGGATAGAATAAACTGAGAATATAGTAACCAAGGATCCCAACTGAAGTGAATATCAGTTCGGATAAAAATATGGGTTCAAGGTTCAGGTTCGTAAAAAATAAAAATATAGGTAAGGTTCGAAACCTCTTATAACAGTTTGAACACTTTTGTATATAAACCTACATTCGATTTATATATTTTTGTGATATTTATTGAGTTCTAGAGGGTGGTTTCTATTTATATGATGATCAAGATTTGCTCTGTGGTTCCCAATTATGTATATATACCCTACTAGATTGGCAATTGATTAATAAAAAGTGTCTATACAAAGGAGCAGGGGCCTTACTATCCTTTAGAACCTCAGAGGGCTCAAATTTTCAAACATTCTAAAATTACCTTCTTTTTAGTGGTATAAAAAAAATTTAAAATTTTCAAAGGGCTCGAACCCTTGCACCCCCTCCTTCAGTGACGCTAATGTATAGGAGTCAGCTGTAGCGCCATTTTGTGATCTGCACTTAGATTAATTGTCTTTATTTATCAATGAATGCACATTAAAGTTAATAGTCGATATACAAACCACAAAATGGCGCGAAAATGAATCGCCAATCTAGTAGTATATATAGAGGTAGCCCATACTTCTGACGAGCGTGGTTGGGTTTTCTAAAATATTTTAAACATTGGGCGGGTGGGTAAAAAATTTTAAGTAACGGGCGAACGTGGGTGGGTTAATTTTTCATATTTTTCAGACGAAATGAGCAGAACAGACTTCAATTAAAAATAATAGTTTTATTTCATAATATTACATATTATATATGTTTAATTAAAAATACATGATAATAAATGAATAAAGAGCCAAACCAGCTTTAAAATCGGGTTAAAGAAAATTTATAGATCAATGGGCGGGCAAATTTCTTAAAAAAAATTATAAGTGGGCGGGTGGGTTAATATAATTACCAAACAACGAGTGGGTGGGCTTTTTGGCACTGCAAATCTCTAATATATACATCATTTGTGATTCTCCTTTACTTGTTAATCAGTATAATACATTTTGATGTGTCATTTAAACTACTATATGTAAATAATTTATATATTGGATACAATTAATTTCTAAACATTATGGCAGTTTCCTAGATCGACTTATTACTAAACATCCAAAAAACAAAAGAAGAAATTTAAATTTAAAAAAAACAAAAAAAGCGAGAATAAAATACGATAAATAACTAAGCCACCAAATACTTAAAACTAGAGATGTACCGATATTTTTTATCGGATCGGACTGATATTTCACCCAATATAAAATATCGCTTATCGGACAATATTAAAAAAAAATTCCGATCCGAAATAAAATGACCTCTTTAACAAAAATAAAATGTAAAATTTTTAAAAATGTTAATCTAAAATCATTTATTTTTATAAATAAAACGAAATCCATTTTTTATGTAATTTTTTTAATAATAATTAATTAATAGCGATAATCTCTTCAGAATCTGCTGGTGATATTATTACCATGCCGCAGACTGACCTCTGATAAATTGAAAATTTTGGTATTTTTAAATAGAAATCTTCGATATATTAATGTTAAATATAATTTTAAATATTTATTTCAAATTTCATAATATATTTGTTTATTACTTATTATCTATATAGATTATCTTATTAATTATTATATAAAAGTGATTTAACAATAAAAATATTTTATATACTTTTAGAATTGCAATTTAATTGAATATAATAACTGATCATTATAATATATTTAAATGACATAAGTCATGGTATAGTTAAATTATAGATGTTATACTAATAAAGTATATTAAAAATTAAATTATTGATATCTTTACAAAATACAAAATTAGATATGATATCGGATCGGTAATCGACCGATATCAATTTAATATTGGAAATATCGGATCGGCCTCCAGTGGTACCGGTACACCCCTACTTAAAACAAATCAAAATAGGGTTTTCTAGTTAAAAAGCTTTTTATCCTAGACTAAAGCAATTAAATATCAAAATTAAGGGGATCCAGGACACGGTCTAAGCTTAAAAATATTTAAAAATGTTGTAACTAATGTTTATAAAAATTAAATAGAATTTCATCAATATACTAATAACTTTAACATAATTTTACAAGCATAAAATCATGAGGCTCGAACCGGTTTGCAGGCATTTTCGCGGTAGTTCAGATAGAAAGTCATTTAAAGGTTCAGGTTAGATAAAAAATAGCGGTTAATATCGGTGTAAAGGTTCAGTTTAGATCCCTGATAGTAGCCTTAAAAGACCCTCACTACGTCCTAATCTCGATTGCTATATGCCCAAACACTTATTATTTATAAATGCTTAATAAAATATTATATAATTCTATATTTTGTATTTTAGCCATTTGTAAAAAAATTATAATTTATTACAATTCAACCTAGCTTAGAAAAAAAACTAATTAATTTTTTTTGCCTCCCTGCTTGAACATTTTGATTTTCGATCTCATAATATCATATAATTTGTAAATGTTCTTATAACATTTCCCGCGTTAGAATAACGTTTTTAATTTTAGGTTCTATGCTGACTAATATAAGAGGCATAATGCCGTATAAAAAGTATGAGTAATAAGGCGAAACTAAATAATACGATGTCATTAAAATTTGTATGTTTACACTATATTGGGATCATCATAACAAAATATATCCTAATATAAAGGTTATTTCCTGGAGGTTTCATTGCATATATAACCTTTTTTTAGTCACATCGTATCTTTATAGATGGGGGAAAAAGGTAAAAAAATAAAAAGTTCTGCAAGGAACATGTTAAATAATTAAGAATCGTTTTATTCATAATTTCGAATATTTATTACGTAATTTCGAATATTACAAATTATTTTTAGTATTGTTAAATGGCTCGATATTTAAAAACGTCTTATGCTCATAGATGGCAGAAAGGTTTACACATGTATAAACGAAATCTCGAAGCTTGGGCAATATTTTTTTAAAGCTAAAATATCGGATTAGCCGTTTAAAAATCTAGCCCTTACAACACTAGAATAATTCGATCGAATGGTAGACAAAAAATTATTATTTAAGATATCACTGTTATTGAAAAAGGAAATTATGTGAATAAAAACTTTAAAACGCAATTAAATCTATGTTTATATGCATCTAAAAAGTAAATTAGTATAATTATAAACAATTATATGTAAAATAAAATAAGAAAAAAATATATAATTTAAATAATGGGAAGAAAATAAAACTTTCGCTGTCAAACAAACTATTGCGATTGAGGGCAAAATTGTTCCTTTCAATTTGATTGTTTGAGCGAGTATTTTCATTTTTCAGACTATAACCATAGTTAACTCTAGATTCTTTTCTGATATTTCTCACGTTTGTACTGTGAAGATGTTGAGAATTATTACTTAACGAGGAACCTTTATTATACCTAGCAGTAAAAAAAAATATATTTATATTTATAGTTTGACATTAATGGATACCTGTTAGAAGCACCAAAATGTGAGGCATATTTTCTATTTAGACGTCGGGCATTGGACATGAGATTGGAAACAATGGAGTTATTATTTCTGCCATTGACAGCAGAACGAGAGGAATGGGTAGAGAGAGAATGTGGATTATTATAAGTAGGAGTGTTAATCGTGTCCATATCTAAAGAACGCTTTTCCAGAATTTCAGTTATGCCTAATAAATAATAGGAGATAATTTTTTACAATTATATTAATAAATAAATATATCCAGCTCTAATTAATATAATGTGTTTAAGTGGCAGGGTATGGTTGGATTTATTAAATCCTGATTATACTATTTTACATTTATTTCAATGGATATTTAAAATGCTTATTAACCCATGATCGGTAGAATGGGTTATAGCATTATCCCAGAGATTTTAAATTGTTATTACGAAAACGTCTGTCGATAATTAGACCTTGATTTCAGCAGCCTTCTATTTTGTGCTAAATATAAACCATGTTTCTGAAAAGTTTCATGCATTTTATTGAATGATATAGATCTAAACATTTTTTGGTGGCAAAAACACACATTTTTATTCTTATAATATAAAGAAAAACATTGTTTAAATAGTGTATATACTAATATTTAAATCAGTGAACTGCAGGCCCGGCTCTAAGCCCGGGTACACGGGCGGGTCTAAAAAATCTATTTAAGATACCCGAACTGGACCAGCCTAAATTTTTTTAAAAGAATATCCGGGTCGGGCCGTATAATTTAAAACCAAATATTTTAAATTGCCATTATTAGATATAAAAATTAAAAATATAATATTAAAAAAATCCGGCCAGGGCCACACCTGGAAATATAAAAACTGGGACATGTCGAAAATTTTTTTTAAAAAAAAATCCGAGCTGGGCAGTGCAAATGTATTTTTGCAGGTCTCTGATTTAAATATTAAATATTTTTGCATGTTTTACAGTAAAAAAAAAAGATGAAATAATTATTTAAAAAAATTCTCATAATTTTTGTATTAAAATTAATTTAAGGTTAACATTCTATTACGCATCTCATATTTGAATTCATATACAATAAAAAGGTATAACTAGTGTGGTTAAATAGTTGGTTTTATATCATGACCCTGGCTTTTGGTCGAAAAAATGAACCAGAACTAACCCAACCAAATAGGTCGATTGAACATCTCACTCTATAGACGAGCCATTTTCTCATACTACCTTTTAATGTTGTTAATCGATTAAATATAGGATCCAGGTGTTAGGTTCAAAAAATAATTTTTTTTAATTATTGGCTTGGGAATTTTTATTATATAAAATAAGGGCCTATTTTTCCGGCTAAAATATTGATTTACCAGTTTTTAAAAGTTAGCTCAAATCAAGCCATTTAATAACATTAGTGTTTTTTCATAAATTTCTACATATAATCTTTTTACATATATTAATTTTTAAGTTTGTTAGTGACCGGCTAAGCCGCGTCGTTTATAGTCGAAAATCGAGTCCGAGTTGAATGTTTGGGAGATTATAAAATTTTGGTACTAAAAAAATATGAATCATATAACAATTTTATTTTATTTTTTTATACATTTATATTTTATTTATTTTAACATTGTTACAAAAATTTCTTTCAACATTAACATTTTAATAACTTTTTAAATTGAGTCATTAATTTTTTTACGTAAAAATAATAAGGAAAAAAATTATAAGATAAATAAATGAATAATTTCAACAAGTCTTGTTTTCCGTGGATTTCTTTTATGTTAAATTATTGATAAATAAATTATCCTAAAAAAATAATGATCTCCACACAAAACATGATCTGTTAACTCAATCAGCTATTTAAATGTAGTGTATAAAAGTGATATCCCGTTTTCCCGTCAATGATAAAAAATCAATCACTAGTTGTAAACCGTGTTAAAATTCCGTAGTTCTCTATATTATTAGTTTTATGCAAAAATATAATTATTGCCGAAATCCGAGTCCATCTGATTAAAAAAATTTTTTTAAATTAAGGAGTTCGCAAAATGTCTGTCCCACTTTTTTTGATGATGTCATTTCAGAATTAGTACCCTTAATTTCATTAAAATCATTTTATTTATTCTAATATACGTGATACGTGATATATAGCGCTTTTGCCCTCTAGCGTTGAAGATTAAACAGAGCTACGCTAGGTTTTCCTCATTTCCATCTAATTGGAACAATTTAATTCGGGTATAAAAGTAAAAATATGAGGAGCCCTCCACACGTTTGTGGGCAAGCCGCACGTACTTGTAGGCACACCATTTCGAAAAATGTTGCTTAAACCTCTATAGGCTTTAATTTAAAAGGATTGGGACAAAGAAAAAGCCTATACCCAAAAACTGATGAGAAAAGCAATTAAGAACAAGAGAGGAATATTCAGATGGAAGAAGAAAAACTGAAGGGCAAACTATGAAAACTCATAATTCTTTTAAATCATATGCTCAATTTATTATATTAATTTACTATATATTTATTTATATTATTTAAATATATTATTATTTATCCTTAAAAGATATACTAACAAATGTGATTATTTAAAAAAAAAAAAATTTATATACTATAATTTGTAGCATAATAAATTTAATTACTCTAAGGGTGGGCGGTGGAACATTTTTAATTTAATAATTTTACAAATTTAATACAAGTTTTAGTAAGAAAAATTATAGAATACTTTTAATAAGTTGAATAATTGTTGACTGGAAACCTTTAGATAATGATATATGAGCAAAGAACTTCAAAATACGTTTTCATTTGAGGTAACTTTTTTTAATGCGGAAAAGTTTTTTGATGGAACTCTTATTGTTATTAAGTTTCATGAATTGTTTCATATTAATATTTAAATCCATTATATCCTTTATGGTTTTATAGTACCATAAGGATTTATATTTTGTGTGTTGTTTTCCTTTATGTGTGTACAGCCATGCTATGGCGTCATGAGCCAAATTGTGGTCGGAGTTCCTTATTATATGAGCTAGGAACTGTATACGGCGTTTTTTTACAGTGATATTAATTGGCGTATGATTAGATTTTTTCCAGAGTGGTTTGATATGACTCTTGGGTAGAAAATGTCATTAATTATACGTAGACAATTATTTATAAATGATTGTAATCGTCTCATTTCCGTCTTATTTGCTTCCCAAATTTCCCCATCATATAATAGAATCGGAACAATTGTCGAGTTGAATAACTTCAGTCTGGTAAAAACAGAGATCTCTTTCGTTTTCCAAATTTTCATATACTTGTAGAAGGTTCCCTTCGCCTTTTGTATTCTTATAGACAATTCCTCTTACCACTACCTTTATTGTGAATTACGGAAAATAATTCCCCGGAAAAAAATTCGCCGGAAATTAATTCCCCGGAAAAAAATCCCCAGGAAAATAATTCCTAGGAAATGAAATACCCGGAAAATAATTCCCCGGAAAAAAATTCCCCAGAAAATAGTTCCCAGGTAAATAATTCTCCGGAAAAAAAATCCCCGGAATAAAATTCCCCTGGAAAATAATTCCCCGGAAAAAATTTCCCCACTATATATTGAATTGCTAATGCATTGCTAAAAGGCAATCAATCATAATCAATTATAAATCAATCAAAAATTTATTACGTATATTTTTTTAATGATAATTTTTTAAACTTTTTTAAAATATATTTAAATCATTCTTTTATTATAAATGAAGAATACTGATTAAATGATATAGTACTATAATTTTATTTTTATTTAATATTATTAGTAAGAAATTTATTTTTCTAGCTTATTAAAACAAATATACATTTTATTCAATTTTAAAAATTAACTAATATATATCCGTAAGAGGGCGTTATATGTTTTAATATGTATCATTTTAGGAAACCGGAATGATGATTGGATAGCACTTTTTTTATATTTGGGTATATATATACATATGAAAAACCTAAAAATTAAAAAATTTTTTTAGGTTTCTTTGATGTTTAATTTATTAGTAGGTTTAGAATAGTAAAACAATGCAAATTTTCTAAAGTAAATATTGCTGGCGTTATTTATCAAAATCTCTTCATTTTTGTTTTATAAGTGTATATTTACGTGCTAAGAATTATCCTAAAATATATTTTGAAAATAATTTGATATGACCGATTGCCGAGCTCAAAACCGACCACTCACTAAATATTCGATTGACCAAATTTACTAGTAATATAATTTGAAAAATGTTGATTTTCGTTATATATATCTATAAATACGTATAAAACATAATCCTAAAAAATATTTTTAAAATATCGTGATTTGGCGGATAACCGACTCGTAGCTCACCCAATGACTAAATACTGAATTGCTGGCGTTATATAACAAAATATCTTAATTTTTGTTTTATACGTGTATATTTACGTGCTATGCATTATCCTAAAAATTTGAAAATAATTTGATTTGACCGATTGCCGAGCTCAAAACCCCACTTACTAAATATTCGATTGATAAAATTTACTAGTAATATGATTCGAAAAATGTTCATTTTTTGTTTTATAATCTATAATTACGAGTAAAACATATACGAGTCGGTTATCCGCCAAACCACGATATTTTTAAAATATTTTTTGGGATTATGTTTTATATGTATTTATAGATATATAAAACAAAAATGAACAATTTTCAAAATATATTACTAGTAAACTTGAATCTAGGAAAATAATTCCCCGGAAAAAAAATCCCGTGACCCGGATCTGCTCTGCGGTAATAGAAATGTTTTTTAAAGTCAAATTTCTTCGAGGATTTGAGATTTTAAATAATAAAACGAAAGTTAAATAAATCTAGTTCACCTTTACACACTTTCATCAACTTTTAGGTATTTATTGAAAAATTATTTTTACACAAATTTTAATCATTTTTTTAGAAATATGATAAAAGGCTTTTCACAGTTTACTGACTCTTAAATAGCGCCCCTTTTTGTTTTTACAAGGATAAGCTATTAAATAATATAATTTTATAAATTTTGTGGCGAAATAGGAAATTAGCAATTCAATCTGATATCCTCTATTTGATAAACATTATTTTACTGAAGTATTTACCTACTTTAAGAATTTAACTGACTGAATACAAAATCACTATAAAACTTGCAAATTTATATTTTTTACTGCCCAATTTTAATTAAATACTGCCAAAAGTAATGAAAAATGCTGACCACTTTAATCAAAATACATCCAGAGGTGATTATCAGCAGTGAGTATTATATT